AGAGGAAGGAGATATGTTCGAGAGGAGCGACATTTTCTTTTTTTATTCGTCTGAATGCTTTCTATAACATCTTGTCTTAGAAAAAAAAAAACTAAATAAGAAAATTCAATCAAGAACTAATCAAAAAATAATGTTAGATTTCTACTCAGTTAAGATGTATGTCAATTTCTCTTGATTAATATTCTTTGTTTTCTTTTCCAATGTATATTTTATAAATGAATAGAATATTATATAATCATATCTTTTCATATGTTTTTAAATATTTAAGTAAGCTTTTGTTTTTTCTTAATTATTTCAGTTAAGTAGATCTGTCACATGGGGAAAAAAAAAAACTTCTATCGTATCGAATATATTTTCATTAGTAGTTATTGAATTTGATCTCTAGATGAATAAATATACTTAGGTTGTTTCTTTTTTTTTTTGATATGTTTTTTTGTAATATTAACAAAAACATATATTGATTGAATGATAATAAAATTGCTCAAGACAAACTGTACTCAAGGGAAATTATAAAGTATACTGATTTTTTTTTTTATTCTTTTTAGATTTTAACATCTCATATTACATAGAAAATCAAACAATGCGTTCTATTTTATTTATTTGCAATTATAATAGAGATAAGAAACAAAAAAAAAAAAAAAAAGAAAAAGAAATTCAGCATTGATTTTTTTTTCGATGTTGTTTTATGTTTCAAGGTTTTCTACTGAACAATAATTATATACTATTTGATCTTTAGATGTAAAAAAAAAAAAGAAAAAGGTAAAAAAAGAAGTGCATATTGATTCGATACCCAGTAACACCTTTTCTCCCTTTGCCATGAAAGAGATCATTTATTCACTGTCATCTTGTACGTTAAGCAAGGACATAGAAAATGGTTGTACATTAGTATAAGAAAAGAAGTGGATGGTAGGATTGAAATATGTTCATTTTGTAATAAATGTAATGGAAGAAAATGTTTATGTTTACGGAAGTTTACATTGTTCAAAAAAAGAAAACTATTAACATCGAATTTAACACATGCAATGTTTATTTCAATTTTCATTAATTATCCATCAATGATTTTTTTATTTAATAACATTGAACATACACAAAATAACAAGATAAAAATAGGTTTCTTTTTTTTGTTTTGTTTTGTTTTATTATTATAATATGAGACAAAACTTCTTTATATAGTTGGTTGGAGATGATTAGAAAAGAATTGACTCAAAATAACAAATACAAAAACATAATAAGGTCTTCATAGAGTTACACTAGAGAATAAGTCTATTGATAAAAAATTCTTAATGAAGAACATATATTCATCTATTATAATGACCGACAATTTTAATGAATAAGTTATAAAAGAAACACACTTTCATTAGATTGTTAGGCATCTGGTTTCAAGATTTTTTATATGTTTTTCTTTTTTTACTCGATCAACTATTATTTAGTAATGAAGAATAAAAATAGAACATATATAAAAAAACAAAAAAAAAAAAAAAAATATAATTTTTTATGCTCATAAGAATTTAGCTTTTCTTGTTTCTTTCTTTTTTGTAATTTTTCTTAAAAAAGACAAACGACAACCACTCAAGAAAAATTATTCTGATCAACGATTTGTTTTGTATCTCTTGATTCACTCAGTAAGAATACAAAAAACAAGAAAAGATTAATATTTTTTTTGTCTTCTATCCTTACGATAAAACAGTCTTTACTTTGTATGCTGTTCCTCATCAGAATCAATAATTTCGATTATCATATCACATATTGGGAATTGAGTGCGTGAAAATAAACGATATTTTGAATTATAAAGAACGCAATCTTTTCTCTTTCGCACATCGTGATGTGTTCATTTAATGTTCAAATAATGGAGACCAATGAGAATAAGCTAAAAATTGTCCTTAAGGAGTCTGAAAATGGACTAATAAAGACAGGAAATAATTTTCTTTGACAAATAACACAGTCTATTTTCTAATTTCTATATTAGCACTTTTCAAAGATAAATAGCTCAACTGTGTTACAGGGACGTTGACCTTATATAACTCGCCATCTATTTTCATTTTTTTTTAGATTTCTTTCTTAGTGATATACTTAGTATTCTCCTTTGTTATCCATATATCTCCGTCTCTGTTCTCTTTCTTTTTGTTCACTATATATTGTACGTGTTTTTCATCATTTAAATGGTTAATAAAAGGTCATGTGTAAATGTACACATATACACATTTAAAAGAAAGAGAACGACCTGTAGCGTCGATTCAAAAGGACAAACGCTAACAAACTGTCTAATAGTAAGTTAGATAAATGATCACCGGTGAAAAATCGAAACATTTTATCTATTGTTAGGTATGCAGAAGGTCCCCTCATTAACCTATATTCATATCGATAGTTATGTGTGTCATATGATTTCAATATTTATTGTAGGTTTGGAAATATTTATCCATTTTTTTGTTTCACTCTCTATTGCGCATAACGCTAGTCATGTGTTGCTTTTCTTAGTTGCTATAAAAGCAACTAGTCTTGTTCCCATGAGAAACGAAGAATAAAATAATATAATGTGAATGATTATTTTTATATTATACTTCTAGATAATCTGATGATTTGTATGTGAAATGAATGAAGTATACGTGAGTGATAATACGTCATTGAATTTGACATCAATTACGCCAATAAGTACTACAACACGAAGTATTCCATATCGTGAACAAATTCTTATTGATGCATTTAATACTTATATACAAATTGGTATTGGCAGTCTTCTATTTATTTTTGGTGTTACATTTAATTGTTTAAGTTTACTTTATTTTCATGTATCACGTAGTTTTCAACATACAACATTTCGACTTTATTTTTCAATAATATCAATACTTGATACAATACGTTTATTTGAATTTCTTATTTTTCTTTTATTTGATAAAGGTTATCTTAAAGTAACATTAAAATTATGTCGTTCAATATTTTTTACAATAATGTTTACTGGACAGGTAATTATTTTTTATAAGTTTTTCTTTTTAGTCTATTTGAAAAAAAAGAAATTCTATTAATTAATGAAAAATACATAGAAATAAAAATTGATCTCATGTACAATTCTATTTATTTAAGTTTTCCTTTGTTTTCACTTGAAAGGTTTATTAAGTTTTGACAATGAAAAGAATTATTCATTCAAAACATAATTTTCTTCCTCTTCTTTTTGATGAAATTAAATGCAATCGATTAGATTTGAATTTAGTTCAATAAACAATTTTAATACTCGATTATATTTATCCTATTGAAAACAAAAATTTATATACAAAAAAAAAAAAAAAAAAAAGGTTAATTGACACTCTCGGATATATTTAATAATGTAGAAAATTGTTTTATTCAAGATGATTTGATTGTTAATAAATTTGAAACTGATTTTATCATGCGAAAGAAACCTAGAAATCATTATCGTAAAACAATATATTAATTTCTCTATGAATTATATAAATTTAGTCAAAAAAATTTCACTATCAAGAACGAATCGAATAATTAGTCAAAATGATAATTGAACTGGTGAAATAATGATACAGAATTAGAATGTAATTATAAATATAAGAATATATGATGATATATTCGATATTGAACAATAATTAAACAGAATTAATATAAGTAGGTTAATTGTCAAAAATAAATATAGGAATACTGTGCTATGAATAGAAAAGAAAAAGTTAAATCGCAAAAAACAGAAATATAATACTGAGACTAATGGAACATATGTTGTTTTGTAGTATTTTATATCATTCTGTCAGAATTCGATCAAACAAATACGGAAAGTTATTTGAATTAGACTCGATGATCTCGATAAGCAATTTTTAAAAATATTTTGAATTTTATTATAAAAATGACAGCACAATATATTTCTATTAAAAAGTACAATGAGTATGTTGAATAAAAATAGTAAAATAATTCTTATGGTATTATAGAAAAGAATTACTTTTGCATTAATTAACATTACAAATAATACTAATCAGAGATGGGATCGATTCAGTTACAAAAAAAAACAACAACAATTCTTTCAAAATAAAAATAATTTTTTTTGTTTTGTTTAATTTAATTTAGGCAAGCATATGGTTAACAGTTGCATTAGCCGTAGAAAAATGTATAATAATATGGTTTCCAATAAAAGGTCGTTTATTTTTTACAATGTGTATATCAAAATTCGTTCTTGTATTAGTTCTTTTTATTGTATTTTTTGCTGATGTAATTTATCTTTTACCAACTTTTTTTTTACATGCATATGAAAATCTTTCAATTCATACATTTATGTGTGTTTGGCAAAGTGATAGTCAATCATCAATGAATGCACATGATCGATGGAAAAAACATTATTTTACATTTAATACAGTTTTTTTTCATTCAATTATACCATCAATTTTATTACTAACACTTAATTGGTTAATATTATGTAGTTTATCACGACAACGAACTGTTTTAACTAAAATTGGTTCAATTGATGCAAAAAATGTTCTTAAACGTGAAAAACAATTTAAAGAAAAAACAATTCAACTTGTACTTTCATCATTTTTTGTTATAATAACAATTTCACCAAGATATATATTAACAATGGTTAATGCATTTGCAACAAATATTAGAAAAACACCAATTATGCCATTATATATTTATGTTAATTTAAATACAGTTTTTCGAGTTCTTGAAATGTGTAATTATTCTTTAAATATTATTTTTGCTATAATGAGGTATATAGATAATTATTCTTTTTTTTAATTCAGTCATTTTTTTGTTTAAATTTTTAGTGGTCGAACATCACGTCTTGAAATTCGTAAATTACTTTGGGAATGTCTTTTTTGGAGATTTAAACGAACTCAAGCTGATCATCATGAAATGACATTTACTAAACATTCATTTTTAGTTGGTGATGATGATGATGATTATAATAATAATAATAATAATAATAATACAGATCGTTCAATGAAACCAAATGGTAGAACATCTTATCATACATTAAGAAGGCAATCATCAAATTATTTAACATCTAAAACAAGTAATGGAAATGATTTAACACAAAAATTTCGAACATCA